TCAGGGCACACATGCTCCTAGTGGCCGGAGCATGTTAACCATGTCTGATGACAATGTGATGCTGAGGCAAATTCAGGGCACACATGCTCCTAGTGTCCGGGAAGTTGATGTCAAACCTCTCTTCCATCTTGTTGAGGACATCCTTGACCGTGCCACCCTGCAAGTTGATACTATTTTCTTGGTATATATCAAATGCATTTATCCTATCAACGAAAATAAAATTGCTGAGGTCACTTAAAGCATTTCTCTCCTTCTGTTTATTTATCTTCCTTTGTCTTTTTGTAGGGTTCTCAAGCAAAAAGGGAAATAGAAGAGAAAGCACACCAAGCAAATCTTGTTGCCATGGTTGACTCCCTTGCATACATCATTGATAGAATTTCATGTGAGGTAACCACAATTAACTACAACCAGAAAAATTCCGGGTTTTGTTTTATATACTAACACAATTCATTGCTAACACATTGAGAATTCAAATACCTTCAATTGTCAGATATCTTACAAGGCTTTGGGTGGTTCTGATGCACACCAAACAACACTTGCCATCTTCAACTTGGTATCAGAATTCTCATGGGATGCTAAACTGGTGCTGGCCCTGGCAGCCTTTGCCATGAACTATGGAGAATTCTGGCTCCTAGCTCAGATTTACACATCAAACCAACTTGCCAAGTCAATGGCAATCCTGAGACAGCTACCATCAATCCTGGAGCACACTGGTCCCCTCAAACCCAAGTTTGATGCTCTCAACAACTTGATCAAGGTCATGGTGGATGTGACTAGATGTGTGGTTGCATTCAACGACATGCAGCCAAATTACATTTCACAAGATATTCCAGCATTGACTACAGCCCTTGCCCATGTCCCAACTGCAGTCTATTGGACCATCAGGAGTGTTGTGGCTTGTGCTGCTCAAATCACTAGCCTCACCAGCTTGAGCCATGAGATGTCATTGCCTTCTTCATCCATTATAATTCAATTATTAAACTAATACTATTCTTTTTGATTTTCATTAAGTTAGACGGTCAAAAACTGGTGAACTGACAGTTTAGTTTTTATTAATTTTAGGTACTCAATATCAACAACAGAGGCATGGGAGTTATCCACCTTGGCTCACAAGCTAAAAAACATACATGAACATCTTAAGAAGCAGCTGGATATTTGCTACCAATACATAGGTCAAGAACTCATCATATGAATTGTCTTGAGAATATAACTGTTGCAAGGCCTAAAACATTTATTGAAATGCTCATCAAAGGCTTGATTCCTGTAACATGCAGATGACAAAAGGAGTATTGAAGCCTACCAGATGCTTAAAAACCTCTTTGAGACGATCCAAATCGACAACATGAAGGTTCTAAGGGCCTTAATCTATGCCAGGGATGATCTACTGCCTTTAGTTGACGGTTCTACAAAGAAAAGGGTTTAGCTTGCTGCTCTCCCAACTTTTGCCAAACAATTTTTGTTCAGTATCATTTTCTCCATTCTTATTTGAATATATATGAAACAGGTTAGCCTTGATGTTCTGAGAAGGAGGAATGTCTTGCTACTCATTTCAGGCCTGAACATGGCCACCGATGAGCTTTCAATTCTTGAGCAGATATATAATGACTCCAGACTCCATCCCACAAGGCAGGAGAGCCAGTATGAGGTTGTTTGGATCCCAGTTGTGGACCGCTCCATCCAGTGGACTGATGCAATGCAGAACCAGTTTGAGACCCTGAAATTATCCATGCCATGGTACACGGTGCATCACCCTACTTTGATAGAAAGGCATGTGATCAAGTTCATCAGGGAGGACTGGCACTTCAAGAACAAGCCAATCCTTGTAGTGCTGGACCCTCAAGGCAAGGTGGCTTGTCCAAATGCAATCCACATGATGTGGATTTGGGGCAGCAATGCATTCCCTTTTACAACCCTTAGAGAGGAAGTTCTCTGGAGGGAAGAGACCTGGAGACTTGAACTCTTCCTTGATGCCATTGATCCGTTGATCCTCAATTGGGTAAAAATTCAAACTTTTCATTAATCTTTTAAAACCCTTGATATTCTTTACAAACCCTTGAATTTTAATCAGTCCTTTGAACTGGAATTGTTCTGATTTCATCAGGCTAAGGAGGGGAAATACATTTTCTTGTTTGGAGGCGACGATGTTGAGTGGGTTAGAAAGTTCGCAAACACAGCAAAGAATGTTGCGCAAACGGCTCGGATTCCTCTTGAGATGGCATATGTAGGAAAAAGCAGCAAGAAGGAGGCGGTACGGCGAGTGACGGCGACCATCAATGTCGAGAAGCTGAGCTACTTCTGGCAAGACCCCGCCATGGTGTGGTTCTTCTGGATCAGGCTGGAGAGTATGCTATTGTCCAAGATCCAGTTGGGCAGGGCCGACGACCAAGACCCCATGATGCAAGAAATCAAGAAGTTGCTCAGCTACGACAAAATGGGCAGCTGGGCTATCCTCTGCAAAGGATCAAACGCAGTGGTCAACGGCCACGGAACCACCGTCTTGCCCGCCCTACTGGAGTATGACATATGGAAAGATCAAGTAGCTGTTAAGGGCTTTGATTTGGCCTTTAAGGATCACCATGGTAAGCTTCATGACATTGCTCAACCCTGCTGCCGGTTCGAGTTCCCAATGGCTGCCGGAAGGATCCCGGAGGGCATGAAATGCCCTGAATGCAATCGCATGATGGAGAAGCACATTACCTTCCTCTGTTGCCATGATGACGGTACCGTTCCAGGGTCAATCTTCTGAGCTTGGACCTCCATGATATCACATCTCCTCCACAAAAATAAATGTCACTCATGGTAATTTTCAACTAAGAATACTAGTTACTTACTCGTACCTTGTGTTATATAAGGACGAGTTCCATATTTCCATGCAATAACAAGGGTACGTGTCTCCAACTATTTTTAACTGAATAGTTGCTCGACGCTAATCGTATCCTTTTTACCTTTTTTTCTTCAACATATTCCATTTTGTTGTTTTGAGATTTGTCCTATGTATGAGTGGCTGAATTTGATGTTATGATATAATAAAGGTCATGATACTTGGTGAATTTCTCTTTACTCTTATGGTGTATATTATTCATATTATATTACTCTTTTAAATTTTTAGAGGGTAACACCCAACCAAATGCATTGCATTGCCATGAGCTGTGTATTTTTAAAATTTTTCTGAAAAAAATGTTGATTTTAATAAGAAAAAAAGACATATGAAGGATAACCTTTTAATAAATAAAATTATATTAAATTATATAATAAAATTATAAAATTTATACTAAAAACAAATTTCTTTTAATAATTTTTATTATACAATCTATTATAATTTGCAATAAACTCGTTTTCCCAAGAAAAATAACTCCTTTGTGATTTTAATTTTTAAAGATACATGCTTGAGTCCAAACATTACCAAAAGCCGGCGAACGTTTACAAAGGTGAATCCGCTTTTCTTTTCCCTGAAAAAAGGGCTGAAGGGAACTGACTGCTGGACTGCAATGGCCACTTGTCTCCGGAAGCTCCTTCGGAAATCACCACCCACGAAAGCAATTTCTGCTTTGCACAGCCCACAAGCACTGAATCCCACACCACTTCCCATTCTTCAACCCCAAATCCACTGCTCTGAACCCAGAGCAAACCATGGACAGACCTCCTATTATCTCCCTCTCCTTTTGGGAACTCAAAGCTGACAACTTGACGCCTTCGACCCATTCTCAGTCTTCAGTTTTCTATCCAGGCTTCCCATTTGGGTTAATTTCAGACCCGATTTCGTTACCTGGGTCGATACAATCCGAGCCGGACGATGATGTTTCAGGTGGTTCTGGGACTATTTGGGCTGACAGTGTAAAGAAGAAGAGAAAGAATAAGATGAACAAGCACAAGTACAATAAGCTAAGGAAGCGTCTTAGGAGAAAGACTTAAATTCTTTCTTTTGGTGAGATTTTTAATGTTTTCAATGGAAATCTGTTAGATTTTGCTAATTTTTTCCCCTCCAATTCCTCATTATTGTGTTTTATAGACCTAAAGATTACTACTTTTGGTGAAGAGATTGCTCAATAGCTTGGACGAGAAACTTTAGATTATAGTTATGGTGGCATAAAACAAACTCTGCTGTTAGAATATCATGTTTTGATATTAAAGTTATGGCATTCTTGAAGTTAATTGATCAGGATAGCTTAAATAAAGCTATGCCAGGATGCACATGAAAATCATTATGATCTATATTTTGTAATAATTTTTGCAGCCATGGTTATGAGGTTATCTCTTTGAGTATAGCTGTAAATGCAGGGTAAAGATATCTGGAGGCAAGATTGTCAACTTGTTTGTTATTCTAAAGATTTGAGTTCCTTTTATTCTTTGACATTTAGCCCTCTCTGCTACCATCCATTGTTGGTTTAGTGAGACCTTGAGTTTTGTGCTGGCTTCTGATATTTTATGAACTTAGAGACGCTAGCACACTTTCCTGAAGAGATTGGATTTGTTTCTTACATTATTGAGCTGTTTGATGGCAATAATGTTTTTTTATTGCTAACTTTGATATTATAACTCCAGAAATGAAAATTTCTGAATTCAATCAAATTTCAGAGAGTAAGAGATGTTGTTATGTTTTGTAAGGCTTGGATATCAATTTCATTAGTTACCTAACATGCTCTTTCAGTCTTTAAAAGATGTGAATTCTGATAAATCTTGCAATAAAGAATGTATAATATCTTGCATGGTATCCTAGCACAATTTGTATGTCTATTTCTTAGAGCTTTCTCTTTCTTGAATATTCTGTCATTAGCCAAATGTTCTTTGTTGGCATTCTAAATTAACATCAAGTTACAAACCTAGGTTTTTCTCATGTTTGGTAAGTTAAGCATCCATCAACTACAGTTCTAAGTAGTGTAAATTGTAATTGGTTGGAGCCATGATAGGTAGACAATATTTATCTGAATAAGACTTCTTATGCTTGGATACTGGAACATCGTTTGGAGCCTTAGATCAATAATTAACTTGAGGAATATTGAAAAATTATCATTTCACAGATGGAAATACTGATCCTGGACATTTGTATACTGGTTAAAATCAGTGAAAGATGTGTACTTTTTTGTGGTTATGCCATAATGCTTAATGGCTAATGCTTTAATGGCTAATGCTTTATTCTGATCCAAGTTCAATTTTAGATATCATAATTGAAAAATTCATTGGAAGAAAAAATGTTTTTGATTGAGGGAATTGGAGCTTAGCTCTATGACTCTCCTTGGATCCACAAATGGATGTTATTGGATCAAGTTTGGAAAAAGGATTTTCCCTCATTTTACCACGGTTGTGATCCAATACTTTATGATAACATAGGCTATTGAAGTATGAAAAAAATGGACTCAGGAGATATGCTAAGGTTTAACTAGTAGAAGTGGAGCAAATCTCTTAAAATATTAATGAAGATTGTATTGGTAACTAAGCCTATCATATATTAATTGTGTAAAAACCACTACTTGGTAGAATTGTCCCATAATGATCTTCATACTCAAGTGTTATTTTGCAAATGGGAATTAATTTCCTGGTTAAAGGTACAGGAAGATACTTGAGAGAGAATATGGAAGGGGTACCTATGTAGGAGTAGGATCTACAGAATTGTCAAAAATGAGGTTTGAACTATCTTTCCAGAGCCTGATAGATGAAAGTTAGGAAGGGCTTATGAATTTCTGCATTAATCATAAATGTATCATGTATGAAGCTTCTGATATTTGTAAGCAATACCGTGAGTCATGGACCATTCCATTTGGGCTTCTTTGAAGGTAATCTAAATGTTTTATCCAACCTCATTCAAGATTTTGTATCTATATCTGTGATTTAGGTATGAACACGTCTGTGTATGTTTGGGCATTGATGATAATATCTCTTATTATGCTTTTCATTATGGCCCACTGCTCCTGATAGAAGAGGGCAGCATCTCTTATTATTGAACAAGTCAATTAGTTAATGCTCAGTGCTGACCAGCTCTATAAAATTATTGAGGCTACCATATACATATTTCATGACAGAGAAATTTGAGATGTTGAACCTTGTCTCATATCAAAAGACAGCATCTTTCTTGTCTAGCATATTTACCATTTGCTTGACTCTAATGTTGAATTTGTTCTTGATGCATAGAGCTATATGCTGATATGTTGCCTCCATTCTTGATGCATATAGTTATATGCTGATATCTAGTAGTTTTCATTTGGCTGTGGATTGATGAATTTAGGTTAACTTCTTTTAAACAGTTTTCTAGAAGTAGATCCAACGGGAACCACACAAAAAATGAGTTGAAAGAAACGACTCATTTCTTTCAAAAGGGACATACCATTTTAAATCCCAACAGGCAGATGGAGTTAAGGTGAATGAGTCTGAGAGATAGACATCCATTGATGCACCACCCTTTTCTCGTTTCTTTCCTTAATATATGGAGCCCATTACCACAAAACATCCCTTTATTCTTTTCGTTGGCCTCATATCTCTTTTATCAAGATTCTGATTATATTAGTAGTTATCAAATCATTTTCTGCCTCATAACACTGGGGCATGCCTCTTTGACCTTTGATTCCAAGCTGAGTCCTGAAAATTGGGTCCATAAGTTCTGTATTTGCCCTGTTGTGGTTGTCATTTGCAGGCAGAGCCCCATTACCCTGGCCCCACCCACAGCATTACTAGACCAGAAATGAGAAAACCCATCACGATTTGTTTTGACCAAGCAAGCATGCATCAGTGGTCTGATTTTAAAATTTTTTTTGTGGACTCTCCCAGATCACATATTTGGCTATTTTGGAACTTTGAAGAACAGGAGATTTCATGTTCCTTGATCATGATGAGTATGATATCATATCGTCCTTGCATTTCTTTGCACATCTCTTGTTAATAATATCTCTCCATAGTAAACTTGTAGATGTACTTTTAGTTTTAGCACAGGGTTATAGTGCTTGAAGCTTACTGTTCTATTTACCTTCTTCAGCATCATCATTCTACTTCTTGGGAGTCATGTTTGGATCCATCCTTTTAGGGTTTTAATTTGAAGGCTGCATGTGCTAGGCCATTAAGTGTTGTTTTCAAGATACATAGGGATTGTGATTGAGGGGTATGGAATAGGGAGATTTAGGAAGGTGGTGGGTGATTGATAATTTAATTTGTTGCATCCTCCATTAAGTGGGGAAAAAAAAAGAAGTGCTTGAGACCATGTAAAACTTTCCTTGCTTAAATGCTTATTTATTTCTAAAAGTTTTACTCTCCTTTGGCCTCCACCCCACCAAGATCTTTTATTCTTCCTTTATTGGATTAAAAATTTCCCATTTCTGCACCACTAGTGTTTTATTGGTGTTTGTTAAGGACTAGTCCCAGTTTCTCAGATGCTCCCATCGTTTTCCACCTGATTTCTACCAAGGACAGGCCAATGAAGTGTGGAGATAAAAATTGCATCTTGTCTTGTTAAAAGTCAACAGTGCTCAAGACTTGTTCATACAGGGATAGGATGCTACTAAATTATTACATTAGATTAATACAACCTGGAAACCCAGATTGGTCCAAAGCTTATCTTTCATGGTTTGAATGCTTCCAGCTGTTTAAATCACATTTATTTTCGACTTCTTCATTCCCATACGGCAGCCAGAATGTCCCATTTTAGCCCCATTGGATCCATGATTAATACATTTATGGACAACAAAGACATATATGGTATTCTAAAAATTTTCATAAAAAATAATACGGCACTATTATAACCTTAAATAGGCAAGCTAAGACATTATTTCGTACAGTTATGATTTTAGTTTTTAGTTCTCAAAATCTTAGAAATTCTATACATATATATATTAATTAAGTCTGAAGTTTTGGATATCACTTTTAAAATTTTACATCTAATAAGTTGTAAGTTCGAATTTTTAATTTTGATTTTTAATTATTAATTTTAATTATTTGAATTTTAAAAATCAAAATCAAAATCCATAACCATACACAAAGCTCAAAATTATTTGAGAAATTTTCTTTCTATAAAAAAAAACCAAAAAAGAAATTTTATAAATTAAATTAAGTTTGAAGTTTTGGATATCACTTTTAAAATTTTACATCTAATAAATTTTAGGTTTTAATTTTTAGTTATTAATTTTAATTATTTAAAATTTGAAAACTAAAATAAGAAAAAAAAAACCATATTAATAACAATACACAGGAGCTTAAATTAATTTTGAGAAATTTTCTTTTTCTAAAAGAGATTATAAAAAGAAAAAAGCCTAATTCGAATCAACTTTATCCACATGGGGTTCATGGAGTTGTTAGGCATAAATTAGTATCCATTTATTTTCCATCAAAATTTTTTTTGTCTATTTCTTTTTGACCCTACAAAGAGAGAATTATACAAAGGTCCAAGCATAGCTGCAAAATCATCTCTTTTCTCACCTATTTCTTTTCTTAAGTACTTGATAACCACTCGAAGAACAAATTCCTCCTAGTCTACCTCTGTCTTCGCCCTTTCTTCCTTTCTGTAAAGTTTTAATCTTCCTGAGGAAGCAAAGGAATTTCTATTTGCATCAATTCTGACTCCTAGCAGTGAAAATTTTAGTATCTTTTCCAAGTCTAGAAAGAAGAGAGGAAAACAGGGCAGCAACCAGGGGGGAAGAGGGGGATGGGAGGGGTTACATCTTCAATGGCGGCAAAGTTTGCCTTTTTTCCGCCAAACCCACCTTCGTATAAGCTGGTTAGGGACGAGCTTACTGGTCTTTTGCTGCTTAGTCCGTTCCCTCATAGAGAAAACGTTGAGGTACTGAAGTTGCGCACGCGACGGGGGACAGAGATTGTGGCTGTTTACATCCGGCATCCCATGGCCACCTCCACTATACTTTACTCGCATGGGAACGCGGCCGATCTGGGTCAGATGTATGAGCTCTTCATCGAATTGAGTATCCACTTGCGCGTCAATCTCATGGGGTACTCTGTTTTCCTCCCCTTCTCGTCTGGTTCTTTCTTTGCAAGGTTTTAGCTT